GTGTTTTGTAACTTTTTCAGCAGCGAAGTGTATCGAATCTACTAAGGGGGCAGCCAAGTGGCGTTAATACATACATTCATATATATGTATATACCCACTTACATACATATGTTTATATATACATACGTGTGTATATTCTTTCGGTGCATTGTTGGTAGCTTAATCAAAAAACTTTTTTAACTTGGAGGCATCAACATTTTTTTTGCTATGTACATTTGTATGATTTTCTTCATGCTCGGTGCTATACGCAGTTACGTAACCGCAATAGCTTTTGACATGCAGGCGCGTCTTCATCATTTTCCGCAATACAGTCGGAAAACGCTTTTATTTGCGAAATTAAACGTTTTCAACAGCAGTCATACATATCTGATTTTATAGCTTCATTATTATCAATTTGCATATTAGACGACTGGCATTAAGTAATACCCTCAAATGTTGCTGGCGAATGTAGAAATAGGTAACATAAATTTAGTTCCACAATTTAAATTAGTAGACCCCTTACACATTAAAGATTTTATAAATCCTTAAATTTTATTTAAAAAAACACAACAGACTTCTTTACCTGATAGGTGTTTCGATCTAACAGCACCGAAAGGAATGATTTTCTCAGCGATTCTCAGCGCAAAAAATAACGGTATATTTGCAACATATTAACTAAATATACTATTTAGATTGAAATCTTAAACCTGCAAAAGTTTACAATCTCAGAAAATATATAAAATTTAGTTGCTACTAATGATGAATTTTTGCCGGGATATCTGGCCCAAAACGGTCCGCAATCAGGCTCACTTAAACTAGATACCACCACGGTAAACGTTTCCCACTTTTCCCTATTTAATCACAGATCACACATTCCCTCGAGTGGTGATTGGATAAGGCGAGGGTAACCTTGAAAACCGCCGAGGTTAAGTGTCTGGGTCTAACCCTGGGTATAAGCTTTTGTGGAGATCTCACGTTGCGCTTAGCAGGCAACTCTTGGGGGTGCAGTCCAAAATCCTAACCAGTAACCAATAGTGACATATGGCGCGGTGAGTTGCGATTCGAGAACTACATACCTTAGCCTCGGCAAGACAGTCGCTCTCACTAAGCTCCAACGTCTGGGCTGTGCATTGAGAGCCTCAAGGCTCTTTGTACTCAGCAATAATATCCAATCACCGTGGGTGTCAGGTCACAAAGGAATATAGGGAATTGAGATAGCGGACGGCTTAGCTAAAATAGCGGCGACCTCGACTCCAATAGTTCCCAAACAATTTGTTGCAATAGGCCAAAATACAATTAGGGAAGAGCTTAAAAAAGTAACAGTATGTAGGAGAAAAAAACACTGGCATAGTAATATAGGACTCCACCAGGCCAAAAGCTTACTGGCGAGTACAATCTTAAAAGATACAAACTTCTAATTACCCTTCCCAAAAACAAAAAAGTAAGTACGCCTGGGCCACACTGGAGAAGTGAAACTTACGTTACATACCTGTTTTCTCTCATAACCAATATACATACATACATACATCTGTTTTTGCTTAAGGTTATATTTTTTGTCTTTTTTCTATCTAGATCCCTACCTCTACCCATGTTCCTTCTAATTACATTTATGTATGTTATTCTGTCTTCCTTTATCTTCATTTTTATCTCTATACTCTATCGATAACAAAATAGATAGTAACATCCAACAAAATATCGATAACAAAACCAATAAAAATATCGATAACAAAATTGATGACAAATTCGATAGAAACTTCGATAGCAAAATCCGTAATTTGGTAGCAAAATTGATTAGAAAATCGATAAAAATATCGATAACAAAATCGATAACAAAAATCGTTTAGAAAATCGGTAAAACTATCGATAACAAAAATCGTTTAGAAAATCGGTAAAACTATCGATAACAAAATCGATAAAAATATCGATAACAAAATCGATAATAGTATCGATAACAAAGTCGATAAAAATATCGATAATAAAATCTACAACAATACCGATTTAGCTTTATTTTTACTTTTGTGTTTATATTTTTCTTTATCTACATATTCCCCCCACTTAAATAAAGTGTTTAAATTTACCTTGGTCTTCATTTTTGCCTTTATCTTTACGCATCTTTGTTTTTGTTTTTATTTTTGCCTTTGCCTTTATCCTTTTCTTTATCTATGTACGTACTCCCCTTTACTTTCATTCTTGTATTGGTCTTTTTCTAAGTGTTATTCTTTAACCATTTATTAACAAGTCTTTGTTAAATTCATACCATGTGCATACACTCAAGAAGCACTTGTTTCAGCCCAAATCATTTCCGTTGCATCATTTCCGTGTGCAATTTCCGTTGAATTTGCCAATTTACTCCCAACCAACTAACCGCCGCTAAAGAAGTTTCACTTCAAAAAAACTTGGAATCATCGGAATTTAAACGGTGAGAACAAAAATCGCATCTTATGGCTACTGCCGCTGTAGCCTGGAGGATATTGGGATGCAATCACCTCAACACTTTCGATTATGCTGTCCAACGTTCTCGAGTTCAGTGGGTGGATGGAATCTGAGCATACTTTGAAGTGTCATCAAATTATAACTTAAGAAAGTTTTATTACATGGCAGTTGAGAAGTACATTCATGAAATTTTTGCACATACAGCAGTACATAGCATGCATTTAGGCGCCTGGTGTTAGCAGTCGCACCTAAACAGGCGGTTTGAATTAATTTAGCGAATAAAATAAGACCGCAATCACAAACGAATTTTATCCTCGCTACCTATTTTAAATTTTGATTGCGGCCTAATTTCACTTTTCATTGGAATATCCTACTTCAGATTGAATTCGTCTGGAAGCATAGCACAGATTTATGCTCACTTTGGGAACTCTTGAACATTTTTCGAGCTAATTATTACGCAGACGTCAGCTTAAAAACTCGACATTTTAATCGTATCTATATAGTTTTTGAAATGTCTACTATATAGTTTCAAAAATTTATAAAAACTCTTTAACTAAATATTTTTTATGTTTTAAAACTTTTACAATAGAATAAGTTTTTTTTATTTTTCTTAAAATCTCACTTTTACTCTTTCACACACAGGACGCTGTCTGCGAAGGACCACACGTTGACTCTGCATCGTTACCGCTCGAACATAGAGCCGTTTATGGTCCACCAGCACCATCGCCCGTATACGCCGCCCAACAAGGCCCCATACCTGCAGGAGTTAGCAACGAAATCTCCGACGATGCTTGGCCGCTCTCCGCCACCAATGATAGTCCACAGATTAAACATTTACAGGTGCAGTGCGAAAAGACGCATATGCGTGTCAACATCGAATTCGATCGTCCCTTCTATGGCATGATCTTTTCGAAGGGCTTCTACAGTGATCCACACTGTGTGCATCTGAAACCCGGCACCGGCCACTTGAGCGCCACCTTTGAAATCTTTCTCAACAGCTGCGGCATGACGAGTTCAGCCAATCACAATGCAGCGGGTTATGGTGCGCCTACGCCGTCAGGCAGCTATGTGGAGAACACCATCATCATACAATATGATCCATATGTGCAAGAGGTGTGGGATCAGGCTAGAAAATTGCGTTGCACATGGTATGATTTCTACGAAAAAGCAGTCACATTCCGACCATTCCAAGTCGATATGTTGCATGCTGTGACCGCAAACTTCTTGGGCGACAATCTGCAATGTTGGATGCAAATTCAAGTGGGCAAAGGACCGTGGGCCTCCGAGGTGTCGGGCATTGTGAAAATTGGTCAGACAATGACTATGGTTTTGGCTATTAAGGATGATGAGAACAAATTCGATATGTTGGTGCGCAATTGTGTGGCGCATGACGGTAAGCGTGCACCCATACAATTGGTCGATCAGAATGGCTGCGTTGTGCGTCCGAAAATCATGAGCAAATTCCAGAAGATCAAGAACTTTGGCCCATCAGCATCGGTTGTCAGTTTCGCATACTTCCAGGCCTTCAAATTCCCCGACTCAATGAATGTGCACTTCCAGTGTGTGATACAAGTGTGTCGCTACAATTGCCCCGAACCGAAGTGTGGACCTGGACTACCAGGTGGTGAGTATGGCGTACCACAAATCGGCAACAATGCGCTTTCAGCGGAATATGGCGCACCCGAAGCTTACGAACGCAACGATTATCCACTGGGTGGAGGCTTACCGCCAGCGGCCTATCCAGATCCACGCCACCAAGCTGCTGACGCCGCCGGTGCCTACTCGGAAAATCAACCTGATGTAGTGCCTTCACCGCAAGCGCAAACAGCCGGTGTGACAACACCCGAATCTGGACTACCAAGCTCACAGGCGACGCCACAGAGTGCAAACGAGTTGCATATGCCACCACCGCCACTGCCGGGCCAACCCGGCCAGTACAGCACTGTGAAGCGAAAGGATGAAATCGAAGGTGGTAATCTGGTGTCGCTGGGTGGACGACCACGTTCGGTTGAAGGACTCGATGACTTGCGTGGCGTGCGTAGACGACGTGATACGATAGATATAGTGATGAAGCCAAGGATTTACAAGCGCGACACGCAAGAGATGACCGACGTCAATACAAGTCGTACCATACAGGTGGTGGCGCCGGGCGATGTCAACTTTGCGCTCAACAATAATGCCAACAACGAGACCGTAGTTATACAATCGGCACGATCTGCTGATCCTGAGACGATTTGTATGTCGGTGCCGAGCTTTGTCGGTGGCCTAGTAATGCTGTTGTTGGTGCTAGCTGTAGCATCTCTAGTCGCTGCATTCCTCTTTGTGCGAGTACGGCATTTCGATCGCAAGGGTGCCTCTATGGCGTATGTTAATTGAAAATAAAAAAGAAAAAACTAAAATAATAACAAAGAGCCCAATTCACCAAGAGAATATTTCAATCCCATCCATAGCCTGCTAAAGCTTCGTAAAGCAGCTGGAAATCGTAGTATGCCGGCCGGAGCCGAAGAAGGTGATTGAAATATGCGAACTGACGCTTATTCCTTTCGATTTTTCATCCATCACATTAAACTAAATACTACATACAACCGGTGACACAGAAAGTGTGTACTTGCAGGGAATCAAGATCTGATCACCTGTCTGCAGTATTTGCAACACTGTCCCGCAGAAATGGCAGCCCAAAAAATTGCGCATACAAATTAGAGGAGGAGGTTGTATGTTGTTGAAACACTTTTGAACTGCGGCCCATTCTTCATCCCATCCCATCATAAACAAACAAATAAGCAAAAGAGGAAGCTTATTTTTATACATATGAATATATTTCCCTGCTTCTAATTTATTTATTTATTATTCTATTCTATTGTACGAATTGTGAAAAAATAAACATTTTTAAAGATACAGCTTCTTTAATATTATGTTGCTAGGCTTCCTTAATTAAAATGCGTGAATAATTTCGACTCAGCGCCACGAGTGTGACGTACATGCATATGTACATATGTATGTATGTATGTATGTAAAATGCTCCAGCTTGTATCAGTCGAATTAACCTAAGTTTCAGTTTAAAACTAAAATATATTTAAATACCATTAGAAATTGATGATGTATGCGATACGAAGTAATAAAAGCGAAATCAAAAAATCTTACAGATAAGTTAATGTAGCAACGTGTGTATATATTAAATTATTTTTATTTAATAGACCTGAATAAATTTGTATTTGACATGAAATTTTCGTTTTTTACTTGTATGTATGTGTTTCCTTTGGTGGTGGCGGATATTCGGAAGGAAAGGATTTGTTAATAGAGTGGAGAGAGATAAACTTGGATAATCAGGCAGACTTTCGCCGTAAAATAGGCTAAGTTTGGTTAGGTTAAGGTGGTTGTCCCTTGTCAAGGCACACACTTGGACCGCGATCGTTGGTCCTTTATGATACCATTGCGAACAATAACTGTCAAGTTAAAGCTAGAAACGCAGCGGCCGAGAATGAAGTTCGAAGGCGGCAGTTGTGGAGAGTTCCTCCGGATTAATCAGAAATTATGAACCCAAGTGTCTAAGCCGCAAACTGGCAAAAGCTGGACAGTTTCGTCGTCGTCCATGCAGCTGCTACAATAGAGGTTCAGTAAGGCATTTAATCTCACTGCGCGATACAGCGATAGGACAGTGGTCAGTCAGTACATCTACTAGAATAAAGAGCTGCGGCTTCACGATCCTAAGGAGATCCCTAGACCGTCCCCGTCCCACCCTCGGCCAGTATGACCTCGCAGTAGTGGAAGCTCTGCTTTTCCCCTAGCGATAGAAGTCTACAAGTAGTTAAGAGAGCTCCCGCTCTCTGTTTTCTAGGCGTTATTGCCTTAAGGCTGCTGTCTCTGACTAGTTCATCAGCCGCACAGGCCGCACAGTTTCCTGCGATATCGCTATGACCTGGTATCGATATAAGTTTAACACGGTTAAAATCCGACGCGATCGAAAGCGAGTTAAGGCATTCGCAAACAAGCCACGAGCATACCGTAAGTGAGCCCACGGCTTTGATTGCCACCTGGCTGTTTGAGTGGATGTTAACCTTCCTTACCGCTAGTGCGCCAAACAGCAGCCAATTGACTGCTTTCTTAAAAACAGCATCCTCCGCCTGATAAACATTACAGTGGTCTGGAGGCCTAAATTTAAAGTTGATAGCTCCCTGGAATATATCCCTTCACAGACCCATCCGCCAATCTTCGGACCATTCGTTTAAAAGTTGGCCGGTGCCTCCTTGCAGTCACTGCCCTCAGTCCACTCAGTCCTTGTTGGGGAGGCGCGACCTTCTGCCAAATTTTTCTATGTTTCGATATTTTGTTTTCGAAAACTTACTGCCTTTTGGCGATTCAGATAATGCGAAATCAAACGTTTTAGTCCTCCCGGGTAAGAGGAGATCGTTATGTCTCCTAGTAGCCTTTGACAGATCAACTGATACTAGAACGCTTCTCTCACACGAAAAGTTATGACAAAGGCTTTGAGTTACCTCGGTGTTTATTCGTTAAGTGCGGTGGTGCGGTGGGGCTGCTTTGCATTTTACGAGTGCCATGCTGATGCTACGCTGCACTACTAAGGAAAACAGGGCTCGAATCGTAACGTTCGTTCACGGATCGAAAACGATACGAAGGAAAATTACGTGATACGTTAGGCAGTATAAGCTGAATGGGACAAAAAGTACATTCACGTATGTCATAAAACAAAACATGTGTTTTTACGTGACGAGTAGTACGATATCGTATGTGACGATTCGAGCCCAGAGTTATCGGGCGATGAAACTCCCCTTTGTTTGTTGGTTTCCCCAGCTCAATTAGTGGGACTGCTCTGCTTGATGTCCACCTTGGTGAGATAGTGTACTCCCAGTTTAAAAAATTTTCAGTATTAATACACATATTACGCCTTAACAATGGCCATTCTACATCGCCGCTTCGGGTCCGACGTGCGATCACCGAATGAAGTTTCCTCTCTGGCAACGCGCTTCGTCGGATAGGATTAGGATCTTATGGTTGACCAAAGGTTACTGACACCATAGGTGAAGTTGCAGGACATAATTAAATAAGGTAGCAAAGAAATTCAATTATACTTATGATTGGTAGTCTCGACCATATTTCCATTTCAATATATTCTTTAAATATATGTATCAGTCCTGAAATTTCGGAAAAGTGGCCCGCCCACTCTGTCTTTCATGAAATTGGTAACCGGTAGTAAGAATTCGGATTTTTCGAAATCGGTAACCGGTGTAAAATACCCGATTTAATTTTTGAAAAAAAAAACAAACAATAAAAAGGGCGTGGCCACTCCGCTTTTCCCAAAATTGGTAACCGGTACTAAAAATCCGGGTTTTAGCAAAATTGGTAACCGGTACAAAAAATCCATTTAATTTTTGAAGTATTTCTTCTAGGAATAGTTTTAACAAATTATAACACATCCTGTATTTTTCTACACTTGTGTGTCAGTGTTATATATATAGAGGTAGGACGTTTTCTTATTTTGATATTTTCAGGGCAGCATGGTACATACATATGTATGTACCTCTTTTGCCCTGTTCGGAATTTGCCTCGTTTTAAGTGCTATATCCCTTCAAACAATTTCTGAGTGCTCACAATTTATGAGTCTTTCTTTCGTTATAAATATGATTCTGAGACCAGTCAACCAGACTGACTCATTTCGGACTCTTTTGGTGTCATAAATTCTGAATTGAACAAAAGTAACTAAGTTCACATAGAAGTACATAAAAGTTCATTAATAATCATAATTATAAAGAATACATATTTGTTTTTTAGACTCAGAACGCGTCACATTTCAGACTCCAATGTGACTCCTAACTTGGACTCATAGTGGCGTGCTCTTCTAAGAAGAGAAATATGCTCTTCTCTGACTTTTTTGAGCTCCTAATGAGGCTTACAACTCAGAAATCTGAGGCTTTTCTGACTCTGAAATGAGTCCGAATATTTATAGGAATTGACTACTAAATACTCGATTCGAATTACAGGCACACTGTCGAACAGTTGGCGCTCTCTAAAGCTTCTTCGCTTGAAATTAACACGGTTTTTATATGGAAAAATAAGAAACTGAAACTGAAGCGCAGAGCTCAAAAATGGTGAATTTCCTTTTAAGTGTACATATATCATTACATTAGTTAATAAAGAAAGGCCCTGACCAACGGTTTTGTTTATTTACTGAGTAGTTTTGAATTTTTTTTTTTTAATTAAAGATCGACAAAAGCGAACTCCTCCAAAACACTGTTAGTTAGTTATTTTTCAACTAAATTAGGTCCTTAGTGAATTATCTACGAACTTTTGAGAAACGCTGAATTTTGAAAGAAAATGAGTTAGGGCCTATTTATGTATATCGTCGTTTAAAGTACAAAACCGCGTATCGTCATTTTGCGAATATAAATATACTAGCCAGAAATGCGATTGCTTTATAAAAAGGATAACCATTTTGAAATATGAGTGTTTTTACTCTCTAGTAAATAGTTTATGCAACCTCACATACGCGGTTTTGCATTTTGTTGATAAGCGGTTTTGTACTTTAAACGACGATATTAAGAACGATATGTATATACCATATTCCACGTCCATATGTCAGAAAGCAATTAAGAAGGCAATCATAAACGTATGCAGTAAATTTGAAAAAAAAGTCATTTGTAAATAACACGCAATTTGATAAACCTGTTTTTACTTAATAAGTAATAATACGCAAATGCACCTTGCACTTAAAAACTTCAAATACTCGTGCATATGTATGTAAACGTGTTTGTTCATAAAAAATACATTCGTAATGTATTATTATAACGATTTGCGTTTTTCGGATATTAAACGGATGGACTTATGCAAAAAAGCAAGGCTTAGCTCGGACTCAATTATTGGTACTAATGAAGTGAGCTCAAGCTCGGCAGTTAGTTTAGACAATTTAACTCAATTTGAATCCAGACTTTAAGGTACAAGTCTCTAATTTTTAAATAAAACAGAATCAATTTTTTAAAATAAATTTTTGTGCGACCCCTACTAATGTTTGCTCATTCTTTATCAAAAAATGTGTTACCTTAAAAACAAATAAATTCAATGAGATACGAGTGTTTGCCCAATGCAATCTAGGTACATAATACTCATGCATATCGTCGTTTAAAGCACAGAACCGCGTATCAAGAAAATGCAATACCTCGGTATATGAGGTTGCCAAGATTTTTAGGAAAGGAATTGGCTTATTTCAAAACGGTTCTTTCTTTTAGGCCTAATTATCTATGCTTCTTATATCTAAGTATCAATATTTTAGTATGAATGGAGAAGGGCTTGATGCCAGGAGCTTCCGGGGAGCAAATATCTTTTTTGGCATAAATGTCAGTTTCGAGGTTTTGCAGAACCACGATACGCGGTTTTGTACTTTAAACGTATGTTACCAACGTATACATTGTATGTATATTGAATGTATATTTAATAAGGAAGTACCAGCAACGATTTCGCTTATCACTGCAAAAACAAACAAAAAATACAAAACCGCATTTCGCTATTTAAGACCCACATAATGTCGCTCTGATATTGTAAATAAATAATTACTGCACTCTCTAAGATAAATACCCACAGCCACTACTTTGAAAGCTTGTTTAATTTTTTACTTGCGTGAATATTTAAATTAAAAATTATGCTATATCATCGAGAATCAAAACTCGAACATCGACGTATTCATTTTGCGTTTAAACAGAAACAAGTGATGAAATTCGCATATCGCTCGTTTGGAGTGAAATGTTGTTAAGTCCATTTTTTTTTTAATTTTACAGGAGATAAATAACTGCTTATAACCATTTTCTTAAAATATTTCGGAAAACTTTGAATAAAAAATTTTGCATAATTAAAGCAAATCAAATTTCCATACGAATCGAAAGCATTCGATGTTCATTAAAGGAGTTCGTTTTATTTTCGCCTTGTAGGATTTCCTCAATTTTTACAAAAAGTGGACTTAGCAACTTTTCACTCTAAGCGATATGAATTGACTTATAGAGACTTTTTTCAATTATCGATAAGAACAGAGGCAGAAGGTTGTTAATGAATTCATTTAAATGTATTTTAACAAACTGTGTGTTTATGGAGATTTGTTTGCAATCCCGACATACATACATACATATGTGCATGCACACATCCATATGCATTTAAGTGGGTACCAAAAATATAGGCTTTATCTGAGTTGAAATTCTCCGATTCATTGTTTAATATTTTCTTACGCTCACATTTATTTTATAAAAATACGATTGTAAATTTTTGCTACGTTTTTAATAAAATCTGTCATTGCTTTGTTCTTACGGGCATAGTTAGCAATCATCGGTAAAGATGTAAACCTACTACTACTAAGTTTGAATAGATGGGTATTTAATATGTACATTTCAATTATTTACATTTGTGTACACAAATACTTATGTTATTCATTTATGCAAGCGACATCCGGACAAATTTCGTCTTATCTGCCTTTATCGATATGCTACACTGTACAATGAAATGGAATAAATCATTTATATGTATGTTTACGTATTGTACATTTACATGTTTACGTATTATAATTTCCACATTCAAGTCAAACTGTCCAAATTGTATGTCCATACGTATTTTTCATATTTCGATCAACTGTTACGCGCTACGGGCATCATTAATTGTTGCTGGTACTTTAACAACCAGTCCATTCATGTCCTTTGTTAGTGTTATTTGGCAGCCTAGACGTGAAGTATCTGTAAGGTCGTATGCCAAATCCAACATATCCAATTCTTCATCGCTGGCTTTATCTGGTAGTTTTTCGAAATCCTCAGATGTAAAAATTAAATGGCAAGTGGAGCATGTCAAAGTACCCTCGCATGCACCAAAACCATCCAAATCGATATGATTATTTACCACCACATCCAGTAACGTGTCGCCCACCTTGCCCTTTGTCTCTATCTTCTGGCCGTTGGCGCGCAAAAACGTAATGTTCACACTAGGTAATAATTAATAAAATAGAATGAGTGTTACATATACATACAGCAAAAATCAATTAATTGTAACTTACTCTTGCTGCAGCTGTGTCCCAATGGAAAATGTGCGTAGGAACTGTTGATTCGTTAACACTGTCGTGTTGTTATTGGTTACACGCTGGCAGTAATCGAATTTGCTAAGGTTTTTTACTAGCCCTATTGATGTGTTACGGTTAATTACTTTCAAGGAGCACCTGACTAAATTTACGACAAAAGCCATACTGTCGCGTCGTTAACGTTTGGAACTCACACGTATAACTGGTTCAATATCACAATGAAGATACTTCTGTGCACTCTTGTGGCTATTTTAATCAATGTCGCACCTACACTGTTTTTTAATAAACGAAACACAACATCGGTAAAGGGAGTGCAATCACCTTAATTCCGAATCAAGTGCAAGGCGTAATGATTACGGCAGTAAATTGAAATAAAAAACACACATCTGCACACAAAGAAAGTTACAATTAAAAAAAAATTACATTTGACAGCAGCACAGCTGATAGTAAAGGTGGCCAGAAGAAAGATATAACACAACACGTTCACTTTGGAGCCTAAATGTATGCAACGCGAATAAAACTTCCATACCCACGACTGTCGGGTCTACGTAACCGGAACGACCCAGATTTATATCTGGCCAAGGACTGTCCACAACACTCCCCAAAAACCCTTTGGGGAACTTGTATGCTACAACAACAACAACAAACTTCCATACGTTTTTATTGATAATATTCTATTTGTCCATGTAAAAAACAATTCGGTACCTTACACAATTTTCTAATTGCCTTGCCCTCTAATTTGTGATGTGCGCTTTGATGGCCCACAAATGGAACAGGTGAAAAATTAAGGTTTTTTTATATTTTATGTAATAAGGCTTGCCGAGATCTGCCGAAGAGCGACCTCTTTTAGCAAAAAAAAACTTTTTTGGGATCTTGACCGGGCAATGGAATCGATATTAATCAGAGCATGAATGCAACCTGAATGTTAACATGAATTATATAATTATATTTATTTAGTAATAATTAATGTTTGCCCTTTATTTTTTTTTTTAATTTAATCAGCCCAAGCAATCCTGAAAGTACAAAAACAGCCGAGACGAAAGTGCTGCCAAGTTTGTATCTTTTTGTACATGACGATTGTTTACATTTTTTTAGCATGGACGCAGTTTATAAACATGTGCGATCTTTGGAATGAATTTGAGCTAAAAAAGCCGCCGCTTCTTACATTCCCTATTCCAACTAAGAGAGCTCCAAATGGTAAGCTTCAATTCAATTCCCTATAAATTTTTAAATCCTTGCTAAGCACATTTCTTTCAGTACGACGCTTACAGGCTGCTATATATCAATACTTTCGGCAGCATCGACCACAAGAGGTCGAGTTTGCAGAGACATCTGCTTTGCTAGGAAGGCTTATGGCACGCCGAAAGAACTCATTTCATGGCATGATGGGGTTTCGTGCTGTTGTTAAGTGTAATACAGCGACATGTCGACTGCTTCGCATCGATATTACACGAGAACTTGAATCATTTCAAGGCTCTTTGCCTGATTTTGCGCTCAACTCGTCCGAAACATTGGAGATGCCAACCCAGAACTGCTTTGACTATGTATTAGTACGATTGCTGAATGTACATGGTATTTATGTTCGGATACGAGAGTGTTGCGTCCAAGCTGCAGAGTATTTTGCGAAATTAATGCGAAATAACTTTTTCATGGAAACAAGTACCCTACTATTGGCCGTGCTAGCCAAGTTGCACAATTTGAGTGCCGTATTGGGTAACAAATGTGTTGAGCTTTACAACCAATTGCAGCCTATGCGAAGGAGGTTTCCTTCGGCGGGGAATAGTGTTCATTTAAACTATGAGCTGCCAGAACAATTGGAAGCATTCTTGGAAAACCAGACTTTAGAAACTCCTAAGACAGAAGGTGTATTATTAAAAGATGATGCGCCCTTGCAGGCAACACATACGCCTCTTACAGCTGTGCGCGCTATGAAACCTGTAAAATTTAAAAGGACTTCCGATGTGGGCGTAGAAGTGAACAGAGAATGTACATTGACCTCTCAAATTAAAACTTTCAATGCGGATGTCGAATTGGCTACTATAGAGACTGTAAAACGATTCATTGCAACTGAAAACGTAACAAGAAAGCAGTCTTTAAAGCAGAGTGTAACTAAGGATATATTACCCCACGAGTGGATTGGTGCGACGCGTCTATTTGAGCGCAAATTATTAGCTAACGAGCACAAGAAAGCTTTGAGTATATTCCGAAAATTTATTGTAAGCAAAGTTTCTTAGAATAAATTTTTAACGATCAAATTGTTTGGCATTAAATCAATGGACCGCCCACGGTGGACGAAACAGTACGAATCACCCTACGGTTTTGTGGACGGAATTTCTGTAAAAAGTTTTTTTTTGAAAACTACATTTACCATGCTACTATAAGAAGTTGGGACTTACCTTAGTAAACTTTTTAAAGTTTTTAATATTTTTGTTGGAATCATTTTTTTCATTCTCATTGTCCACCACGCTCCTTATATCTCTTTCATGTAGTATAGACTTTGTGCTCACAACTGTTACAACGCATCCTCCTTTAATGGGTTCAATTTCTTTGCTATCACCCTCAACGCCAGAATCATTATTCTCTTTCTTTACAGCATCCACTTCATCTTTACATTGTTCCGCTTTGATGCTTAAAGCACTTAGTGAACAATCAAGCCAATCTGCGACGCTAACTTTAGCCGGCAATGGTTTCGGTTTTGGCATTACTATTTGGTTTATTTTATTTGCCGTTGCTACCGGCTCGTTCGATCTCTCAACATCAATAGCATCTTTAGAAGAACTTTGCTCATCAGCATCAGCTCCACCAAAGTCGAACAAATCCTCATCCGAGTCACAACCTCCGTCATCATTGGAAGGACGCGCACGTTTAGCATTATTTGTGTCGTCATTAGAAAGACTTTTTCCACCGAAACAAAACAAATCATCATCATCACTGTTGTCTATATCAGCAATGCGTGCGCGTTTTGACGCTTTCTTCGAAGTCTCATTGTCGGTTGTGGCGCTTTTGTCAGCCGCATCTTGCGCGTTAGAGACGCGTTGCGATTTCTCTAAGAAACCCGACATATCTATCACAGTTTTTCTGGTCGGGCGTTTATTGATCTCAATTGGCAACTGTTTAATAGCTGATTTAGGTGTTTGCTTTGCAATGGCGGCAGCAGATGTCGACGCATGCTCAGCAAGTGGTGAGTGAGTAGATTTACTTTGCTGCCTATTTTTACGTTCCACCGGTGAATTCTTATTCTCTTCTAAATGTGCCTTTTTAGCAGCAAAGTTGAAGAGCTCATCATCTTCACTATCCATTTGAGAAATAGCATTATCAGCTGTGTTTACTGCCTTACCTCTTGTGCGCTTGCGTTTGTTGACCTCCTGGGCACTTTCGGTTACTTGGAGGGAAGACATGGCAGCATCACTTGAATTATTTTCTTCTGGTTGAAAATCTTGTGATTCTATGGTTACTGAATCAGTTTGTTCCACTCCTGACGCAGTTGATGCAGCCGGTGATTTGTCCGTCAAATGGGTGCTAGATGTACTTTTCTCAACAGTTTCGGGGATAAAAATTTCCGTTTGGTTGCTATCTAGTAGATCTGCAATATTAGAAAAGTTGGAAGAAGCCAAAACAGAAGACTGTGGCTCCTTAGATTCTGATAATTTTGAGGTAGAGGCTAAGTTGTCGTTTTCATTATAGCTTGGATTACAGAATTTTTCAATCGAACACTGTATAATTGCCAAACCGATCTCGAATTCAGGTACAGTGCGTCGCGAATGAAGTTTAAGACAATCTTGAAATGAGAGTAGTAAATACAAATGACAATTTGCGTAAAGCCCATTTTTTGTTTAACTCACCTTCAACTGTGTTAATAGTTTCTGAACTTTGTGATTCTGTAGATGGTACATACTGTATAACAACTACATCTTTTCTAACGAGAAAAGATTTTTGTACGCCCACATTTAAATGCTTACTTTTTCCACCAGCTTTCTCTACTATCGGCGCATACTTTTTAAAATGATGCGCATGGAGAAATACAAATGTTAGCTTGGCAAACAATTTCTTTCTTTCTTCACGATATTTTAAGTCGAAATTCTGAGGATTCGGTGGAGTATAAGCTTCAACTTTTGGTAATGATCGCCGACCACGACGCGCCGCCTGCACTACACTACACCAATAGTCGCAAGTCACAATTGGTCTCTGGTCCAGTATTGCATGCAATAGTTTCGAGGACAAGTTTATCTCCGCCATTGTTAGATGGGTATATTCGTCGTCCCAGTCGTTCAAAATACAACCCCCGAGCACCTGTACATGTTGTTTCAACTGAATGATCTGATCGGCAGGCAAAATTGACAACGTAATCCGAGGAGTAATATTCAACACAGTCCAAATGTTTTTCAAAACACCAAAACGTATACGATCTCCTTCGGCTAGAATTATACGCTTTTGTTTCGGAATTCCCACGCCTTTAGAAATGCCGTCATTATGAAATGTGCTATATTTAGATCCCCCATCTTCAAGCTCTAGCATTTCTTTCACATGATTTCCACTTATACTTTCCCTATCGCTAATTTCTGTTGTGGTAATGTGTACGAATGCATGAGTACGACTTATTGAAGAATCGTCTGCAATTACCAGGTCCGCGCCAACGCGTCCGACAGTGTATTTGGACTTTTCGCTGATTACAATGAGCACATTTCCTTTTTAGAAAACAATACATAAATCGTGTAATAGGTAGCTTTAACTGTGTACTTACCAGTAGTAATGTTTGTCAGAAGCCACATTCTTTGGTGAAATTTTATTATAAATGCAAAAATTAAGTTTTCCAAAGGACTCTGACTGGTTTTCAAAAACAAAGTACGCACGCATTTACATATGATTCGCCAGTGTAGCCAAATTCACAATTCGGTGACAGTTTAGTTAGGTTGGCAACGCGAATTATGTAGGTTTATTGGTAGCACGGTTATCAGTTAAAAAATAAGCAACCAAAATCTGAAGAAAAAACAACCAAATTTGTTATCCACTTATTTATTAAGAAAAGCAAAACTTATTAAAAAAAATCAACAAGAAAAGCCTGAAAGATGCCAAATTTCGCACTTGTTTCAAGCTTTGCTGGCTTTTTAGGGGTCGTCTGACAGCAACTCATTCGAACATTAATATTGGTGAATATGATTATCACAATGGTGTAATCGATAACACTTACCATATTTTAAAAGAATTTTACACAAAATTTAGGCAATAAAATGCAAGGAAAAATTATTTATTGTTTGAACATTAATATCAAAAAGGGAACAAAAGTACTGAATAAACTAAGATGAAATGGTAAATGAAGTATCACTTTTATCGAACTAGCAGTCGATACCAAGAATGATAGAATAGAATTTGTCGGAAACTAATTCCTAGACCATTCTCCCCATTTACTGCGAAATGTCAATGGCTTGAAGAAACGTCAAGCGCAAAAGTTTTTTGTGAAGTTGCTTGCCTGAAAAGCCTGTACGACTTCGAAAGCCTCCCTACAAGAAAAGTCATAGTCATTTGAATAATCAAGTGTAACTCAATGGTGATGGAAATGTCCATCAAACACTCCCATCACGTTTTTAAGGCCCATGTGCAAAAAATGATGAAAACAAAATCGCTTGATTAATCGAAAGGAAAATTTCGATACAATTAAATCGTTAGCCCAATGAAAATACCCGATTATAAACGGCTATTCGATTAATCGTGCCGTCACTAAAAAAAATAAACAGAATATTTTAATAATCACCTATTCGTTTCTTATTAAAATAATTCACTTTTTTAATAATGGCGTCATTATCCGGCGTCCGCGTAAATCTTTTCAACGAAAATTTCCTCAATGAGTCTGAGCAAGATGCCAATTCCGTGCTCACCGAATTGGATAAAGGTTTGCGTTCAACTAAGTTGGGTGTCCAATGTGAGGCGATTGTACGCTTTCCACGGCTCTTCGAAAAGTATCCCTTCCCAATATTGATAAATTCATCGTTCTTGAAATTAGCAGAATTCTTTTGGAATGGTTCAAATCTGTTGCGCTTCTGGGTGTTGCGCGTTTGCCAACAAAGTGAAAATCATCTGGATAAAATTCTAAACATCGATGCCTTCGTTAAGCGCATATTCATGGTAATACACTCAAATGATCCTGTGGCACGTGCATTAACTTTGCGTACATTGGGCGCTGTGTCACGCGTTATTCCCGAGAAACAACAAGTGCACCATGCCATACGACGAGCACTTGATAGTCACGATACCGTAGAAGTGGAAGCAGCAATCTATGCAAGTGGGCAATTTGCGGCACAATCTCGCTCCTTTGCAATTAGCATGTGTGCCAAAATTTCTGATATGATTGAATCACTACAAATACCAGTGCCTATGAAGCTGCAGCTCATACCAGTATTAAGGCACATGCATCACGACTCGAACACTTCAACGCTAGTGAAAGATCTTTGTCTAAATTTGTTACCAAAATACCCGGCTGAAAGCTTTGTTGTTGCTATTCTTGATTCACTCACACAACTCTCAGCGCGTACACTAACTGGTGTACCGGACCAAGTAAAACTGTTGTTGGACTTTCTGCAAGATAAACGAAAACCTGTACGGGCGCAGGTGTTGAAATCACTTACGCAGCTAGCTGATCCTCAATGTGTTCATGCCTGGCCAAAGAAGGCTATGAGCGAACTTATAGCAAAAGCGCAGGCTTGTGAGGATTCCCGCGAACAATATCTCTATTTAAATATTTTGCTTAAACTGTGCGATTGCCCTCTAACATGTCATGTGTTGTTGCATGAGCAGCAAGAATCTGTAACGGAGCTTTGTCTAACGTGCATTTGCTTAGATGATTATGCCACAGCCAGTCAAGCGATGTCAATCTTAGCCGCGCTTATGACTTATTCTGGCGGCGATAAGGAGATTACATCCACTATTATTGATATTATAAACATGCATATGGAGGGTCTAATTTTCTGTATGGTTGGTGATAAGGAAAATGAACTCGTATTGAAAAAACTACTCTGTTGTGGCATCAAAATAAGCAGCGTTAATCCTGAATTCGGCACCGATTTCGTAAATATGTTAGCTGACTTGATTACTGAAGAAATAGAATACCCGCCACGCAACGTAGAGATGATGTGCGATGCGTTGGGAGCTTTAGGTTCACATTTCCAATTGCGTAAGTTCGCAGATACCGGTTTAACCGACGTCGAACCAATGGACGTTGATACAATGATGCCCTCAACTTCGGCGCAAGCTGCGCTGGCAGCGCAAAAGAAAGTTGCAGAGTCGCCCTCGGAGACACCTGATGATGATGAGGTCTCATCTAAAGGCCCAACGGTAAGATTTACAGTTAATGCATTTAATTTATATGTGTATTGATAAATAAAATTTCTGTGGAATTACAGGCCAATCCAGTACTTAACCGATTGCTATTCATATTACATAAATTAAATGCAATAATGGAAGCTGGTGCGAATGCAGACCAATTACATACAGTAGAAATCTTAGCTTCTGTCGCATTGCAGTCAATGCTCGGCTGCTTCATACCCAAAGAGGTGATTGAATGTTTTGAACGTTGCTGCAGCAAAATTAATTGTTGGAATCAATATCGCATCGCACGATCTGCAAGTCGTTACGGACAACATTATCTAGCCGCACATATATTTTCCAAAATATCACAGCTCACAGTAGTAGACAAACTACATTTCTTTCTGATGGGACTAGCACAAATGGGAAAGGCTGAATGTATACTGAACTATGGAGTAGAGTACGAATTTATGCGCGACAATTATGAGCTATGTGAACCTTCTATGTCAAACGTCACACCAGAAGAATCATCGGCAGCAGCTGCACCTGTGCTAAAACAAATGCCACTAATGCAGCGTTTAGAGTCTGCAATCAATTTGTATTGGCAGGCGCTCGCAAGCCTCCGTGCCAGTTCGTCGCCTGCTAATCCGCTTACATTTCAGCTAGAGTACCTGAAGTTACGCGCACAATTTTTACAGACCCTCTACATGGCCGTAACGGTAAAAAATGCGCAAATAATTGTACCACCGCCAGCGATTGCGGGAAGCTTGGCTCAGAACTCACGTGACAACTTGCTGAAATTCGGACATGTAACTAATCAATTGCGTAAACTGGTAAAAGCTTTGAAGAGCTGCGAAGAATCCTATTCACGGCTCTACAAATCTGCTTTCGATGCGGATCCTATAACATTGGAATTTTTAGAAATAGCCGAATATCAATGTGCTTTGTTCGCACACATTGTTGAAACAATTAGTTATGCGACGCCCGCGGACCCGCCTGCATTCTTGACAACTGGCCAATGTCCAGAAACACGCTATTTCGCCGCTTGTTGCCACCGCATGGAACAAATGCAACGAGATTTGCCAAAAGAACCATCTAATGCGAAGACAATAAGTAATCGTCATTTGGAAATTATTCTCTCCGAAATTGAAGTGATAACAAAAACTCCCCTCTGTCTACCACGTTATTTCTTCCAAGTTCTACAATCAACGCAAATCAAACTTTCTGTTAGTCCACAGCCTCGCAGCCCTGGCGAACCTGTGCTGGTACAATCTGGCAGCAATTTAGTTATAAAAGTTGAAGGTGTTATTCAACATTATGGTAAAAGAAGATCTATGTATCGCAGTGTGGACGCAGTCCAGTTGTCATTGACGTCTCAACTTGTGACACCTCGTCCAGCTAATGAAACACCTAAATCCACCACAACCGATACAGTAACACTCACACAGACAGTTAAACCACAGCGTGACTTTTTGACTGGCAGCTTTCTTTTGCCGATCTCAAGTGGTGGTCAGTGGCAGGTTACTTTGGAGACTTATGTCATTGACGAAAATGGCATAACTTGGTGCACCGGGCCAAAAAATTCAATGTTGGTGCGATTGTTAGAGGATCCAGCAAAGGCAGCAGCGCCTACACCATCCACTTCAGCGCAGGCTGGGCAAACACGAAGATTTTAGATGAATTGTTCAAATTCGTCATGTGATTTTGATGCGAATGACCGAAAACAACTCTTCAATCTTTCAAGTGCTGAAATGCCTTTGGAAGTAATTTATATAAACCTTTTACTAGTTTAGTGTAAAAACTTTAAAATATAACACGTTTAATACCTTATAACTACTAGTATAATTTTTAAAACATTTTCTTCGGATACACAAAAATCTTACTAACCGCATTTATTTCTGGAACGGATAGTAATCCAGCCCGGAATTATATTTGAACTTTGGTTTTTGTTTGCGTTTAGCGATGTTTATCATTTCCTGCACATCTTTGCGGTAGGCTGGCGGAAGCATCTCCTCATGTAGAGTGCATTGGAACTCTTCCGGTTCTTCAATTTTAAAGATACGACGTCGCACAATATCAATATCACGGCCGAATTCCTCCATAAAATCATTTAATTTTGTTGGTGCCGACTCAAAAGCTATAGTGAAGTAGGTGCCTTCGCGATGTACTAGACCATGTTCACTGATTTTATGCGGTAGCGCACGAGTGCCCAAATTTTCTAGTTTTCTAATTACGCAGCCCTTGTCCAAAATAGTTTCGGCAGTGCGTTTCAAGACGGACACAATCTCCGGCTAATTTCGAAACGAATAATTGGCGTGCATTAGAGAGGGGGGAACAAATTCAAATTAAGGCAAGGATACTTACTCTGGACATTTGTCGCAATACCAAAGCTAATTCGTAGGATGGCATTTTTGGTACAATATAAAGGAAGAACCCTAAAAATTTGCCAGAAGATTTGCCGTGTTACGAAAGGGCACACGGAGGAAAATATGGCTGCAATATAATCGAATGGACAGTCGGTACTATCGATAGCAATTTTTTTCAGTGACTATCGATATTTTTTGCATTATCGGTCGGTTTTGGAGAGCATCTGATTTGTTTATTTCATATATTTGGTCTGTAATTGAATTGTAAAATTTTCTATACACTTTACGGTAAAATGTTAAGTTTTGTTCATTTATTTTCAATAAATCAATATCTATAAACAAAAAAAACTTTAAATAGACTGACGAAAACAGCAAAAAAATAATTAAAATGTCATAAAAACCGGAATTGAGTAAATTGAATGCGTATTTTGCTCATTGTAAGTTCATTGTAATAACTTGAGTCGCTTTTTACACACCTAGGGGTGCATGTGCTTCTTTTATATCGCGATTCAGGAACACCTTGTCAAACATTTTGACAGGATATCGTTTCATTTTGATTGAATATCGTTCGAAGCAGAACAACATTTTTCTGTTGTAAGTTTGGACAATGTTCAAAATCAAAATGCACGCTTTAGCATCAGAATTTTGTTTGTAATTTGATTTTTTTTTTATTTGTTCCCTTTTGGCTTCACTATCGATAGTATCGATAGTTGTTTCTCGAAGTAGTTAAAACTATCGATGGTTTTGCAGCACTAGTAAAAAGTAGGGATGCGCATATAGAAAATACATCGATGTTTTCTGCGACACGATGCATCGTGAAGTCATATCGATATTTTGCGATGTATCAGTTAAAACAAGCGATTTCCTGTTATTTCAAAAAAAAAATTAATTAAAGAAAACAACCCTTTTAATAAGGTTCAGTGAACTAATTTAAATAAAATAAATATGAATTTGAAATAAATTATTTTAAGAACGAAATATGCAAGTATAACTTTCAATGCTAATTATCCTATTAGGTCCGTTCGGTGAACGCACTAGAGTACTCTAGTGCAGGAAACATGAAACCCTTTTTTGCTGTTCTGCACTACTCTGTTCTACGGAACAAGTGCAGTATAGCGGCCGTTGAGGAAACGTAAAAATAAAAAGTGGGCGTGGTCCGCCCCTTTTAATTGATTTTAATGTTGTAAACCCGTTTTTGGTGGAAATTAATAGGGGCAGAGTTAAAGGGGGGTAAAGGTGGAATTTTCGATAGTTTCAAGAGCTTATATATCGAAAACTATTGCACCGATTTTCAAATCGTGGATATGGTTTGAAAGATAACACTATGCGACAGTCAAAATCGGGATGGGATGAAACCAACGGGAAATGTTATATCGGTCAAAAACAAGTTATACGTGTCCCGGCGTTTCGCTGGGTCACGTCTAGGAATCGAGATATATATATATAACTATCATATAGGGGAAACTGTCACCTTTGGTGGTCTTTTTTTGACATAACTCGAGAACCACTAGTCCGATTTTTCTCAAACAAATTTAAAAAAAATTAAAAATTACATTTTCTTTAATCTATTTAAAAAAAATTAATATTTTAGGCAAAAAATATTTTTCGCTGGGACCCGTATAACTTCTTTTTTACCGATATAACTTTCCCCGGTAGTTTGAACCCTTCCCGATCACTGACCCCTACCATTTGTCTCACAGTGTAATTGATAAGCATAACTATATATATATAATAAACATATTTCGAAAAAAAACTAAAAAAACAAAATTATAACCATTTTTTAAATAAAAATGTACGTTTTTCTAAAAAATACGTAATTAACTATATGCAAAAATACTATTTTTAAAAAGTGCATAAAAATACCTTAAATTTGATGAATGCTGTTACAAAAATTCTTTTGCGTAGGCGGCCTTTGGCTGCATTTAAGGATTATAACGCTTACTAAGTAGAATTCTCCTGCCTGTGTTGCCGGAAAAGAGGGGCTCAACACCGTTTGCAGAGAACTCGTTTCTGCGTAGGCGGCCATTGGCCGCACTTAGAGATTATAACCCTCACGAAGTAAAATTCTCCTTTTTGTGTTGCCGTTTTATATGGAAAAAAAGCCTCAGCCAACATGTGCTTAAACCTAACTATATAAAATAATATATCAATTTAAAGGTATTGCTCTATACTTTCTAATGAACACATCCTTTAATATTGTTAATTACGCGTTCTTTAGGAAAATGTACATTTAAAAAAAAAAAAAATCTTTATTCCATTCAGTTTATACGACTAACGTATCACGTAATTTTTCATCCGTGAACGAATGTTACGATTCGAGCTCTGGGCTATCGCGGCATTCGATAGCGCGTGTGCTGGGTTTATTTAAATTGTTTTGGGGAGAAAACATCTGCCGTTATTAGATTCGATACAAGTAAACATTCGATCACGAATGCTGGGATTCGTATCTTAATTTCCTTATTTCCCAAAATTATTTTACAGTATTGCGGCCGTTGCGGTGTAATGGCTAGCAATACCCACTATCATTCCGCAGGGCCTGGGTTCGAGCCCGATTTCCGACCAGCTTAAAAAAATAAATCATAAAAAGTTATATAGGAAAGTACTTTTAGAGTTTTCCCAGGTTAGAGATTTTAAGCGTTTTTTTGCAATTTGAAGTTGGTGATCGCAGAACAGCATTTAAAACAATTAAAGGTAATTTTTAGTGCAAATAAACAACAGCAACTCAGTTCGGCTGACATCAGTAATTGACCCATAAATCTTGTATTTATACGTATAGGCTGCAGTTAAACTTGGTAATCTCGCCGAGATAATACTTTTTCTTATTACCTTAAAAATATCCACCAAAAAACTGAAGAGATGGCACGGCACATTAGACCACGTAGCACTCATACATACATACATACTTACATTTGTAAAAAGTTTGCAATAAAAAAAATTTCTGTACGTAGTAACTATTATTTAATAAAGTTTATTTCATACTCAACATGAACAGATTTAATCAGTATACCAATACGTATCACTGTGTATGTATTGTAATATATGATTTATAAATACTTTCTACTTTATGTTTAACGGTAATTAAATGGGAGAAGACACTTTTGTTGCATTTTTTTACAGGTGGTTGTTTAGTTGTTGTTATTTTTTATACTTCAAAGGCCATAACATTGTATTATTTCTACTGTAAATAAATTGTTGCTGCCAAAAATCGGTACGTATATGTAATTTTATATATTAGTGTAAAGCATACATATATAGAGAGAAAATTACAATGATTCGCCTCCTTTCAGAATGATTAAATATAAGTATGTAAAAGAATACATACAATATAAATGCTTAATGGCACGTACGAGGCATTTACTCCACTCATATAACACCAGTATATTAGTGGGGACAAACGCGCCTCGGATATATAGTTTTCCGTTTGAGTGTTTGTAAGTGCCGATTTAGTTCAATTTAGAAAAAAATATTTAGTGTATTATTAAATATGGGTAAGAATAAAGTGTTTTAAATTTGAAAGGAATCAAACGCTATTATAAAAAAATTACATTTTCTCTTTTTGTGGTGTACAATAATGCTTAGAATACGTTCAATACATGTTTTTAAAGTTAAAGTTAAAAAATATAGAATGCAAAATTTGGAATACATTTGTAGGTTGTCGTTTTTTCGTGTCTTTTCAAAAACCTTTGGACACTTATGGAATGCTTAAATATTATTAAAATGCCGTTATACACATGCATATGTATGTACATATGTACATATGTAACGCTGCGCTCATCTCTAAGTACCAATGATATTGGTTATTATGCGATAGCATAAGCGCTTTGCCATTTGCCGCGCATCAGAAATGTGGCATTTACATGTGTCGGGTGTTGCCGAAATTGATGCCCGACTGATTGGCACCCTTATTTGAGCCGTACTGCAGTGAGATGACATTTTGACCAGCCCGCAATTGCTCCTCAGAGAAATTGCGTACATTCTTATCGGCTTCCTTGGGACCAATTGATGGTTTGCCAAAGTTATGTGCCTGAAATATGAAATTGATAAGCAATTATTATCTATGGGATTTAATTGAATTTTATGAGTTAATTGATTACCTTACGACCTAATGATTGCAGGCATATGACGACGGAGTTTAAGTTTTGTCGTTCCCAAAGATCGACACTCTGGAATGTCTCTTGTGTGGGTACACCAAAGTTTTTAGCACAGGCCAAAAAAGCTGGAAATGAGGTTAGAAGGAAATTATTAATGGAAATATATGGTACACAATAAATTCAAAATATACAAGGCTATATTTATTAGTTCATTTTTTTTATTTCTCTTAATACACATTTTTATTCGTCTATTTTTTATGGATATACGGAATGGTTAAATTGTCTTGATAACTATTGCATCGTTTTTGGGCCGAGAATAAGCATAAAATACAGGAAGAATTAGTTTTTGGGCTTTTGATTCGTAGTAGCGCCACCTAAGCATAGCCCAGCATTCAGTTAGCGCTTGAAGCGCCTTTTTGATATGCTTTTCTCTTAAGGCTTTTGGTGTTAAATATTTGGAGGAATTTAAAATCGGACCAGCTCACGCCAATCTTAATAGTTTTCCGAAATATTTTAGCGGTAGTCTTAAGATATAGAAAAAGTTATAATTCTGATGGAAAAACAGTACCGATTTTTTTTCTATGGAGAGTGATACGTCCTAATGTAGATACATACATATATAGGCATACGGTGACCAGATTTCTGTATACAAAAATCGGGACATTTTTAAAGCATCGAATTCGGAGACACAATTTTGTTTTTACAATAAAAAGACATAACATCTTTTATACAGTTTTATTTAAAACAAAAAAAAAGACAGAAAAACTTTAAAAATTATCGCAAAAATGTATATACATACACAATAAATGTATACGGTGACGAGAATGTAAATAAAGAAGAGACATTTTGGTAAGCTTTGACTACTCTTCTTTGTTTAAAAAATTTTTATAATTTTTTATGAAAATATAGATTACTATCTTAAAAAATCATGTCAATCAAAATTTTCTAATTTTTTGGAACATTTATAAAAATTCGACGAATTCTAACAAATGTTGATCAAAATTTTTAACAGATCAAATTTTTAATCAGATTTAGAATTTTAGAATTATTTTGAGTATGCAGTGTTTAGCCCCTTACATTTTAGTATAATAAAGTGTAAGTTTGAAATAGCTTGGACTTACCTTTGATTTTTGACAATTTTTTT